AGACTCCAGTTCCATATCATTGTTGTTTTCGCTTTCATCATCAGAAATATATTGTACTACACGTTGTGATTGGGCCATTTTTATATAAATTGTGTACTTGTTAATAGGTAAATCGATTTCACTGATAGAACATATACTTTTTTTTGATAGCCACAATATATATATAGTGAACAAATGTAAATCTGCTTTTATCTGGGAAAAAACCCAGATAAAAGCAGAACAAATTATTGTTTAGTTAGTTTAATTATTGCCCACTTATTTTATTTTATTGCTCATTCAGTATTATTATTGTCCGTTTAGTATAATTATTGCTCAATCAGTATAATTACTGCTCAGTCAGTATAATTATTGCTCATTGAATTTCTTTACCGCTAAACTTGACTATTGCTCATCTATATCATTTTATTGCTCATTCGTATTATTTTATTGCTCATTTAAATTTTAGTCTTATTTCACCCAGTACAAATTTCACTCGGTTCTTGCATTTTGTTCTGAAAACTAACACTGCCATGAGATGCAGCGTGGTCGATAGTCTATGTTTTCATGCATTTCAGAAAGCCCCAGACCGAAGAATAGGGGAGTCTCAATGCTTCTAGAAAGACATCCGAGGCCCGTGAATCAAGCAAACCAAGCAAAATGAAGTCTTTGTTTAGATCTTATTTTGTAGAGGACATTTTGGGCCAGAGATGTAACCGGACCGGGTGCCCGTTCTTGGCCCGGTCGAGACTTATCAACCGGTCGGTTGAACCGGTTCTAGTAAGACTGCTGGACCGGAACCGGCCGAAGTGGCTTATAACTAGAAAATATGACAGAAAAAAGCATATTTATATCGAACAGAAAGCAAAAAACACCGGTCGCTTACCAGTCAAATTTTTGAAAACTGGCCGGTCCGATCTGTACATGTTCGCCGGCCACCGGTGACCGGCCGGTGCCGGTCATGATTTTTCTAATCGGTTACACCTCTGCTTTGGGCTATCTGTCTATGAAAAAGACTCGATAGATTGCTATGTAGAACGATTGACTTAGAAACTGGTTAGCTGGGTTCGTACCCGCTCTTCCTGAAAATATAGGAAAATATAGGACTTGAAAAAAGAATTTATATAGGACTTCTCTAATAATATAGGACAAATATAGGACGTCTGTTTCCACTAAACCAATACCGTTTAGTATGGCGAAAAAACACCAGAGTACCATTGGGACCATCAAAGGTCATCTCTGTGCAGGTCATCGACTGAGTTGAATATGAATATGTGTTCAAATCGGTGGAAATGTCGATACAATGAAGTTTACTTCACAAAAAAACACACAAAGGAAAAATGGTTAATATTTTGCTTTGTTATGAATATGCGAAATATATCATCCACTTATCGAAGCCATAGTAATGGTTTACTGGTAGAAAATCTGTTTAACTTAGTTTCGAGTTCTGACATAAACTACTCCATCAGATTGCATGTAATAGTTATTCATTTAATCTAAATGGTACATCGCAAATGGCTAATTCTAGTCGTTTTTTCATTTGTTGTCGACTGAAGGGTATATCAACTATTTTCTTTGGTTTATGTGTTACTTTACTTATGGTCCCTATGTATGTCCCAACCGAAAATAATGTTGTATATAGAAAATGTGATTTGATCGGCGGATATGCATGAATAAATAAGCCATTTGAATATGAATACAGATATTTTATTCTTAAAGAAAAGCTCATGCAGAACCCAGGTAAGCAAAACACAGGTTAAATGGCTGGTCTTTTTATAGTGCGGACGACCGTCCCATCTAGTCTTTACGACCAAAACAACTCGGTCATGACTACTCTGAATTGGACCCAATGAACGCAAAAAACAATGCCGTAGAATAATCTCTAGCACTACTATCGTCGCCAGTATACTAGTATAATGGTATCCAGTAGATACTGACTACTATCGTCGCCAAAATATAGCGTCCCTGACTATTTCTTGAATAATTTTTGATAGGAATAAGATAGAGACACGCGGTTTTCACCATCGTGTTGCTAAGGCCTTGAGACATGTTTTCGTAAGCAGAAACGTGTTTCAAAATTTTCTGGAAGTTTGGCTTTCCACAGGATCTTTGGAAAACCACCTCTGTTCTCAGAAAACCAACATACAAAGTTAGTAATTGTTTTGCATGCGTAAGTAGTCCGGACGTTACTCTACAAAAATATGCAAGTTCCAGGTCTCCAGCTATCGTCATTCCGACAGGGCTCGCTTTTCCCGAGCGCGTGTCTATGTCCGAACAGATGTCTCTGGGAATCTCAAAATACCATGGAATATACTTAATCGACTACGCTGAGCATCGTGGCAACATTTGTTTTTGTATAGAAATGAAAATAACTTCGTCAGAGGCATTTTTGGGGAAAACGGGTTTTTGCCCTGTCACCAGCCAAAATTAAAACTCTTATATCTCGATCAAATCTCATGCTGTCTCAATGAAATTTCCAGGAAACACTTAAAAGGCGTCATATATTGTTGATCAAGCCGAGAAAGGAGTCCAGCACAACACTGAGACGTTGAGGTTTTTCAGGAGGTTTCTGGAAAACCTTAAGCCAATATCCGGCTGAAATTCAATTTTTTCGTCTTCAATTCTGATTTATGAGCTGTTCTGAGGGTTTCCTGGAAATTTCATTGAGACAGCATGAGATTTGATCGAGATATAAGAGTTTTAATTTTGGCTGGTGA